CACCCTGAATGCCTATCCTCCTTGCCTCCAACCTCTCCAGCTGGAAGGACGTTACTTCTTTGATGATGTGAGAGGTTGTGTCAGGCCAGCCCCATAGGGCAGAGGGTCAAACCCTGTGTGCAGGGAGCTGGAACCCACACAGCCAACTGCAGTTCAAATCCTGGTCTCAATGGTTTGAAAAAGCCACAGGTGTGTGTGAGTGCATGCCCCAAATCCTGACGGATTGTACCATGCTCAGCCCCCACTGGGGGGTTTTCTCCCGGGCCTCCCTCTCACGAGCACACACGCCCTCTGGCAATAAAAGACAGAGGAGGTTGTGTATTTTGTAGGGGAGCGGAGCCCGCTTATTGTCTCAGTCAGGCCAGGCAAGGCTGTGCTGTGTTACCTTGAACTTCCAGTCTCTGTGCTTTAACATAGTGAAGAGTTATGTCCTAATCGTGTCACATCTGAGGGGAGGGGCAACCCTGTTCCGTGTGATAGCTGCACCATCTGGGAGATGTGACCTCCGAGGTTGCCAGAGCAAGTCAAGGAACTGAACGATCCTCCAGTACGCTTTACAAAGGGCCAGGCCTAAAAGCCTTCTCCATCATCCTCCCCCTTCGATCTGCCAGAATCCACAGCCGTGAGCTCAACCTAACTGCAAAAGCACCTGGGAGAGTTCCCCCTGGGTGCTCAACATGGTGGATATTGGCTCTGCCACTTTTAGGGTCCAAGCTAAGGATGCAGCGTCCCCTGAAACAGTGACAATAGCAAGAACCCCCGCCTGGGCAGGTGAGTCTTAGGAGACAAGGGTACAGCTGCCCCTCAGCTTGCAGAGATCCGTCCTTCAGAGCCATCCTTGGAGGCCCCAGGTCAGATTTCTCGGCAGACAGGGCGTTCCCTTACTCCAGTGAGGAATTTCTAGTCCAAGGATTCAAGGTTTTATGTTGCGGTTTTTCCCTTCACAAAATGTGCTCACCCTTTCTGGAAATGCTCAACAGTTAAAACAAAATAAGCACTTGTTGTTCATTCATTCGGCATACATGCACCGAACACCCTCTACGCCAGACACCATGTTAGTGCTAGGGTTGCAAAGATAATAAGGACTCAGGCCTGTTCTCCAAGGTAACAGACACACAGCAGTCATGACTGCTAGGGGTAGGAAGGCAGGTGCCAGGTGCTTGGGCCTAGAGAGAGGGTCTCTCATCAACCCGAAAGGGGCCCAGTCACTGCAGCCCCCTAGAAGCGTCACTGCCTGAGCTGAGTTATGAGACTTCACCAGGGAAGGGGCCGGAAGCCATCCTTGCAAAGGAGCTGTGCGAGCTTGGACCCTGAGCTGAGAGAGGGCACCAGACTTTCAGAAACCAGGGGGTGTTTGGAATGACTGCACATCGTCTCTGGGATGGAACACATGGAAGGAGATGCTGGAAAAAGGAGCGAGCCCAGAGCCACAGGTGTCTTCTGGGCCACCCAGAAGAGTCTAGGCCTTATTCTAAAGGGTGAGACTTAGTAGTAGTAGTGGTTTTACCTTTAGGCACACGCACTTGCTGGGGAAAGAGAGAGACAGAGATGGTGAGAGGGAAAGTGAGAAATCACCCCCCAGAGGGGATGGCCATGCTGCAATCCCTTCCCCTCCAATCTCCTCCCAGGATCTTGGCCAGGAGCACACATGCTCTCCCAGCGTGATTCTCAAGCCACCGGGTCCAAGACTTGAACCCCAGTTGGCCATGTGGGAGTTCAGCAACATAACCACTCTGCCATCTGCTGGCCCCCAGAAGATGAGATTTTAAGCAGAAAACTGTGTTTTGGGAAAACCATGTAGGCAGTTGGGTAGAGAAGGGATAAGGAGCACGATGGGGGCAGGAAGACTACCTGAAATGGTCTATGATGGGAGAGGATGAGGGAAGGTCATGGCTGTACAGATGGAGAGCAGCCGGGACAGTGGAATCTAAGACCCCACTGCTGAATATGGGAGGGGAGATGAAACAGGTGACGTTCTCTGAGAGCATTCCTATGGTGCTTGAGCAGAAGGACGAGCTAACCTGGGCATGGTGTGTGTAAGTACCTGTGGGACGGCCAAGTGAAGGTGCAGGCAGCTGTGGGATGGCGGGCCGTGGTGCTGGGTGAGGGGAGAGCTGGAAACGTAGCCTTGGGAGTCGTCAGGAAAGAGGTGATCAATGGTGAGCTCACCCAGGACAGAGTTGGGTGAGAGGAGAAGAGGAAACGTGGAACCCCAGGAGCCCCACTTTTAAAGGACAAGCCTGATAAGAAGAGCCTGTAAAAGAGATAGAGCAGAGGGCCAGGCAGTGGCCTAGTCATGAAGGTAGCTGGATCCCACATGGCCGACTGTGTGGTTTGAGTTCCGGACTTGGCAGCTTGGAAAACACTGGACATGCGTTCATGTATACATAAAATACTGAGAGAAGAACGGGGGAGGATTATGGTGTGGCCATCGCCCCTCTCCTCCATCTCTCTCTGGTGAGCACCTGCTTCCTATAGCAAAATTTAAAAACAAATAATTATTAAAAATTAAAATAAGGGGTTGGGCATGGTGCCACCTGCCCTATGCCAAAAACCTATGGAGGCTGGAGGATTGCATCATCGAGCCCATCTCTCTCTCTCTGTCTCTCTCAACACGCACAATTTTAAAATAAAATTTAAAAAGGGAGCAGCAGATAGCATAATGATTATGTCGCTGGACTCTCACATGGCCAACCATGGGTAGAGTCTTGGACTCAGCATCTTGAGACTCATACCAGGCGCATGTGCATTCCCAAAATCCCAAGAGGAGAATGGAGAACAAGGATTGCAGCATGGTCATACTCCTGCGGGGATGACATTTTGCTTCCTGTCTCTCTGTCTGTCTCTGTCTTTCTGGTGAGCATACATGCCCTACAGCAAAAATCTCTCTCTAAAAATATTAAAAAATTAAATTTAAAAAGAAGAAGAAGGAACAGAAAGGCAGGAGAAAGGAGAACATGGTGTTGCAGAAGCCACAGAGGAAGGTTCCAGAAAGGCAGGCCAGCTATCTCACGTGGGAGAGACGTCAAGGACATGGGAGTGGATGTCCATTGGGTTGAACAAGCAAGTTGTTCGTGACCTGGGTGAGAACAGCTCCAAGGAGTGGCCTGAGCAGAAGCCCCAGCACAGCAGGGTACAGAGTGAACGGGAGAAGGAAACCAAGAGCTCAGTTTACCCAACTCAGTCCAGGCCCTTGGTGGAAAAGTTTATGAGGCGTGGTCAAAAGGAATATGAGTTTTCTTTCTTAGCTGTGAAATATCGAATGGATTAAAAGAACAGTTTTGGAGGCCCAGCTATAGTGGTATAGACAGCAGGTCGCCACTACATGACTCTGGATCCCCCTGGGAGGCCCAAGTTCAAATCCCGGGTTGAATGGAACATGCTAGGCGCATAGACACACATGATCCTGGCAGGCTGGAATGCTGGGAAGAGAATCACATGTAATGAGACTCCATTGCGGGTTCCTAAGTAAATTAATTAAATATATAAATGTTAAAAAAAAATATTTGTGACATTGTGTAAGTGATGAAATAAACAAAAATACCTGCATTTACCATTATAGATATTTCTTTTTTTAAAAGAATTATTTATTTATTTATTGTTATTATTATTTTTCACATGAATTTTGTCGAAGACAGAGAGAAAGAGAGAGAAAGCAAGCCACCAGGTCCAGGACTTGAACCATGGTAAGCCATGTGGGAATTCCAGCACCTTAACCACCATGCCACCTGCTGGCCCGCCATTATAGATATTTCAAAAGTAACATGGCCTGTCAGTCCTGTGCCTAACCAGTCCAGAGCCCCTCACCAGGTCCGAGCTGGACCCATGGGCTGGGAAAAGGAGTCAGGAGGCCAGACCTCCCAGAGCCCTCTCCTAGCCTGAGAGTGGTTGGAGATGGAAAGGGGCAAAAGAAAACCAGTTAGCGCCTGAGGCGTAACCAGGGCTGGGGTGAGAGGTGCAGGCAGACCCCGGCCGTCGCCTGCCTATGTGGGCCCTGGCCTGATGGTACCCTGCCTTCTGTCTCTGCCTCCTCTGCCTCTCCATGGTTCCCTGGATCTTTAAACTCTTCCTGCCCAAGGGGAGCTTCAGGTCCACTGACTGAAGACTAGGAAAGCCACAGTAATACTGAGCAAAATGCTCTCTTCAGTGACAGAAGTCCTTCCGTCTGTCGCAGTGGTCTAGGTCTCCATGACGACACAAGGGGCCTTAGGTACAGAGACTCAGGGAAGCCACATGGGAGACAATCTGGTACACGAGCCCAGGGTGCACAGAGTCTCTGGTGCCAACGATTGCATAGGGGGCTAGGTTTATGGAAGACTCAAGCCCTGGAGGCCAGCACCTTCTCAGACTTGAGCCCATATTGAGCTAGGCTCTGAAGGCCAGAGGTCCCAGAACTTTCTCTTTCTAGTTTTCTACCCTCAGGGTCACTTAGGTCAGGGAGTCCCCTCTTCCTTAAGTTAGGGACAAACCTTGCCTGCCACCTCACAGGCACTGAGAGAAGCCAATGAGATTTATGGAGAGAACTTAGTCCACCGTGAAGTGAGTCTACAGGTATCGGTGGCATGAATCTGTCCCATGGTTTGGTAAACATGGTCTAAGGAGTTCATGGGATCCTTTTAAACAGTGGGGATGTGAGGGGATAAAATCCCGATCATAATTAAAATGTGTCCATCCGTTTCATTCTGGGCAGTGATGTGGCAGAACAAAAAATGTGTCCTTAAACCGTGGCTGAGTTCAAATCCTGCCAGCGACACTCTGCTGTGTGACCCTGGATAAGTCATTTATTCTGTGTCCATGAAGTGGGACTAATTAATGATGATTCCATCCAGTGGGGCTAATGAATGACTCCTGTTTTGTGGGCTTGCTGAGACTCTGAAACAGGCTAGTGTTGGAAAGCAGTTATTGAACCCAAAGAGGCTTCTCAGATGCTGCTGCCTCCTCGGTCCTCCAGGGCTGCCCACTGTTGTCTAAATTGCCCTCCTCTCCACTTGTGCCCTCAGGTCCGGGCTCTGTTTCCCTGTGTGAAGCCTCCGCGGCCCACCGAGATGTCCCGGCACCACAGCCGCTTCGAGAGAGATTACCGGGTGGGCTGGGACCGCCGCGAGTGGAGCGTCAACGGGACACATGGGACCACCAGCATCTGCAGTGTCACCTCAGGGGCCGGTGGTGGTACAGCCAGCAGCCTCAGCGCCCGGCCCGGCCTCCTGCCACTGCCCGTGGTGCCCTCCCGGCTGCCCACACCTGCCACAGCCCCTGCTCCCTGCACCACCGGTAGCAGCGAGGCCATCACCAGCCTCGTGGCCAGCTCTGCCTCCGCGGTCACCACCAAGGTAAGACCTGGTGTCCTATCCGAGCAGGAGCCGGGTGAGGGAGACTAGTCCCGCAGTGCCAGGTCTGCACCCCAGGCCTGTAGGGGCAACCTGTGTTCTCCAGGAGCAGCTATTCCCAAGGGGTTTTATTTCCCAGACATCTCTGTGACTCACTCTTAGGAAGACAGGCAGGTGCTAACGCTATCCAGTGTCCTAGGCTGTGTCAATGAAATGGAAGTTACTGAGTAAATTAAGCATGGAACTCCAAGTTGGCAATACAGGGAATAAACAAATAGGTGACTCGAGACCGTGCAAGTCCCCCTGACAGGGGCACTCGTGACTTGGGTTTGCATGAAAACTCTGCCAAGCAGTAATAGTCAGAGGGCCGTACACGCGTTCATCAGCACTGCGCTGAGTATCCTCCTGCGCACTGTCTCCTCCGGGCCGCACAATGACATGGTGAGGCCAGGACTTTCACCATCCTGCCTTCCAGTTTTGGACCCTGGAGCATAGCAGGTTTGTAAGAGCTGGTACAAGATCCTGGCCTGTCAGTGGAGGATCCAGGACTCACCCCAGGACTGGGCCTCAGGGGCAAGGGCTCTGGTTGCTCAGTCCCTTCTGGAAGAATCAGTTCCAGCCTCGAGAATAGCAGCAGATGCCAGGCTGAATAACTAAACAGATGCAGAAATGAAGGTCACCAAGGCTCTTGTCCAGCTTCAGGCTCACTGCTCAGGGCCCCTCGGGCAACCTGGGCCCTGGAGCAATGGCCCCTGGCCCTGGCAGGAAGCCCATTCATCTCCATCCTGACTTCTGTCGGAGCAGGAGCTCCACAGGCTGTCTTCGCCTCTGCCAGCCATTCAGAGGTGCTGCCTAAGAGCCGTGCATGCGTGTGTGTGTGTGTGTGTGTGTGTGTGCGAGTGCGTGTGTGTGTGTGTGTCTACTCTTTTCTTTTCCTGCTTTCATAAAAGTTGCTGGAGAAGTTAAATGCAGGAGCCCTGGCCCGGCCATTGTGAGCCGACTTTGGAGTTAGAAAGACGAGCTCCAGGTGTGCTGTGCCTTTGTCTCTGCGATTTCCAGAACTCCCTTTCAGTCCTGCTTCCCATTAATAACTGCGAGCGCTGCTGGCCACAGAGCCGCGAGGCCCGAGACAATGGAGCGCTTGGAGGCCGGCTCGGAGCGCATGACATCTTGCTGCAGTGCCTTATTGATTTTATTTTCCTGTTATGAAAACAACACCCCACTGAGGCGGGAAGGCAGGAATGTTGGACAGGGAAGAGAGGATGGAGGCTGATTTGGGCCTGCTGCCCCCAGACCAGCCAAGCACATTTTTCCCTTGGGCACCAGTCCCCAGCACCACGCCCACTCGGTGACCTCTGCCCTCTGGAGCTGGCCGCTGGCCCCAGCGGCCACATCTGGCAGGCACTGCGCACGGCCAGCTTTTGGCCATGGAGAGTGGCAGCCTCTGGAGCTACTGCTGGGGGCTCCAGGTGGGAAAGAGAGGCTGGAAGAGGAGGCCTACTTGATGGTTTCTGGCCATCCTTTTCAGGGATGGCATCCGGCTGCCCCTAGGGGCAGGAGTTTGGGCTCTGCCAAGCAAATATGTGAAGGGGACTCCGTGCTGATGGCTCCCGCAGGCTGGCCTGCCCACAGACCTCCTGCTTTGCTCCAAAGCCACTCAGTCTTCTCAGCCCTGACTGGCCAGGCCCCAAACCACAGCCACATGGGAAGAAAAGAACCAGCCTCAGGCAGAAAACAACAGCTGGGGCAAGGACTGCGTTGGGTGACCGGAAGGGGAGAGGGGGCGAAAGTTCATGACTGCGAGGAGCCAGCCCCTTGGCATGTGACAACAGAGGAACCAAATTCCATTTCCCTTCTGTAACCATCTCCAGCCCAGTTTCATATCTGCAGGGGCTTGTTGGAACAAATAAAGGTGCCTGCTTACACCCTGGATCTCTCAGGATGCTCAGGAGAACCGGGTGTGTGGGGCGGGGGAGGGCAGCAGCCAGCAGTGGCTTCCGTCCAGAGCACCACTCTTTGACTTGGGCCAGGGTACCTTTGCCACCCTGCCCACCTAGGGGCCCATGCCGAGCCAATGTGTCTGAGCCTGGGTCAAGGCCACATCAATTGACAGGCAGGCTCTGACCCAAGTATCTGCGGTCTCCCTGGTCAACAAGCTGGTCTTTACTTGCCCTCGGGAGCACAAGAGCCAGTGTCTAATGAATCTGTGGCCTGGACAGTGTGACCAAATGACCCAAGAATGTCTTCCCCCACTGGAGTTATTGGCAGAGATGGCTTAGATGGGTGGATAAAGCCAGCCTGGACTGAAATTCCACTCTACTGCTTGTGAGTCAAGTGACCCTAGACATGTTACTTAACCTCTCTTCTGTAGAATGGGGATAGGGAGTAGTCCGTGCCTGCCAGAGCTGTGAGGATTGTGTGAGTTCAAGCTTGCAAAGTGCTCCGTACAGAACAGAACCTGGGGGAACCAGCAGTTAGCATAATGGCTAAGTTGCTGGACTCCCACGTAGTTGACCGCAGTTCGCGTCCCGGACCCGGTGGCTTAAACTCACGCCGGGCGCATGTGTGTGCGTGCCCAAGATCCCGAGAGGAGAATGGAGGAGAAGGGATTGTAGCGTGACCATCCCCCCTGGGGGGTGATTTCTTGCTTTCTGTCTCTATGTCTCTCTCTGCCTGTCTGGCAAGCGCACACGCCCTATAGCAAATACCTCTCCCCCCATCCCCCCCAAAAAAAAACTTAAAAAAAAAAGAACAGAACCTGGGATGGGTCACTTCCTCTACAGGTGTTGGGGTCACCCCATCAGAAAGGTGCTCCTTTCTGACTTCCCCAAGAAGAAAAGTTAAGTCTCTAGATAAGAAGCAAGAGTGAGGGACTAGCAGATGGCATAGTGGTTATGTCACTGGACTCCCACAGGGCTGAGCATGGTTCAAGTCCCAAACCCGGTGGCTTGAAACTCACGCTGGGCATGTGTGTGTGCATGCTCAAGACCGTGGAGGGAAGGGATCATGGCATGGCCAACCCCCAGGGAATGACTTCTCTCTCTCTCTCTGTCTCTCTCTGACAACTGCATGTGCCCTATGGCAAAAAGCTCTTAAAAAAAAAAAGTGAAAAAGAGGAAGCAGCAGCAAGAGCGAGGCCTCTCAAATGCAGGGAAAGGAAGGTGGGTTTGAGGGGCGGAGGCTCAAGGTGACATAGAAGAGTCCACTAGGAGCCCTAGACTGGAACCGAGCTACCCGCCAGTCTATCAGGTGATCAGGGAAGGGACCATAAGGCTTTTTTAGCAGGGGGCTCCCTTTCTTAAAGGGAAGTCCAGTGTGTAAACAGAGCACAGACCCCACGGAGGCAGGAGACAGGTGGTCAGGAGCTGCTTAGAGGCTGGAAGCAGAGCTGCATGTTTCTGCTGCCCTGGGTATGGTTCAGGTTGCTTGAGTGCTTCAGTGGGGGCTTTCTTGGTGTGAGCCAGAGGCACCTCTGGAAACTCAGGGGAAAAGTCTCCCAAGAGATGACTTAGGGGCAGGTGTCATCCTTTATTCAGTGTCCCCCTTGGCTAGGCAGAGAGCAAATGACTGTCACATGCTCTGGGGGCTAGGAGCGTTCCCCACACCCTACACCATAACTGCCTCCTCCCAGCCTGAGGGCCTGCTCACCAGCTCCCTCCCAGTGCCAGGGTCTGCTCCTGCCAGGCCAGGGTGGACAGTCCAGCTCTCCAGGGTGAAGAAGGCCGGTTGTGCTCCCAGCAGCTGGTTGATGAGGTAATGACAATTCTTTTTGTCACTGCTACCTTCAGGCTGGAGTCAGTTTTCTTGTTTCTTCATTTGTCTGTGACCGAAAGATTTCTTTATGTTTCTGATGAAAGGTCAGTTGGACGAGCACAGATTCCTAGGCCATTGACACATTAGGAGGGTCTTGGGGAGCTACCCATTCTTCCCTCTCCCCCCAACACACACACACATTGCTCAGCCCAATCAGCTGCCTGGATGAGCTCTCAAACCTCCAGGACACTTGTTCTCAGAGCCTAGGCGGGACAAAGCAGTCACACCACCCAGCCTGCTCATCACAGATCAGGATAGTGAAGTGCCAGAAAAAATGTGTCTGGCTGAGGTCACCCAGTGAGCTAGAATCAGAACCAGCCTGGGCCAGGGCCTCTCCCCACTCCAGGCTGCCTGGTAGAATGCATTCACCATGGTAACCATTGTTATGGTAACTTTCCATTCTCTCCTCCACCTAGCTGATAGCAAACCCCAAATTTCAGACCAGAAAATGGGTGAGTTGACCTCTCCCGGTTAGGTGAGAAAATCAGAGCCAGAGATGATGTCAGTTTAATGTTGCACAGCTGCGGAGAGCGTCAGGCTCTTAAGTCAGACAGTACTGGATTGAATCCTAACGTTGCTGCTTAGAAGCTGCAGGCGTCTCTGAGCCTCAGTTTCTTTGTCTGTAAAATGGGAATAATATCTTCCCCATTGGGATTAGATTAATATGTGTAGAAGGGCTTAAATCAGTTGCCTGGATGGAACTCTCAAACCTACCACTTGAGAAGTACTCAAGAAAAGAGAATGTTGGCCGGAAGACGGCCCCGGGGGTCACGCCCCCGGCGCGCAGGGGCTGCAGCG